CCCAAGAATCTGTGAGAGCGCTGTCTCTTTAAATATCCAAAATAATCAAGCTGCTTTTAGACCTTCAAAATGGCGGTGTCCTCCAGACTGGCAAAAGTCCACAGCTCAGCCCACCTTTCTCTTTACCTTCTCCATTTATTCCCCAGCACCGGAGCAGTCCTTCATGCAGTCCCTGGCTAGCAGAGCTGATTTTAGGTTAATTCTTAAGTCCTACCAGCACTTGGTAATCTCCAAGTTGTCTGTGCCATCAGGGTTGCTCAGGATTGCTGCTGGACTGAAGCTCTGTATGTCTCCTTTTTTGGCATTTTCACGCAAATTTTTCTGCTAGTTGGGGTTTAGATCACTTCTATATCCTTCCCTTCATGGCTTAGGGGGCCAGGATTATCTTCTGTGTCTGTGTTAATTGGTTTTCCTTTTCTTTGTTGAAGAGGGTCTGTGCAGTCTTTCTGCCTAGTCCACCATCTTGCTGGAACTCCCCTACATTCACCTTATAATCAATAGTGGAAATTTACTTCTGAAATTTTATTATATTCTTTTTTTTTAGATTAATTTTCTTTCCTCTTTACCATCTGTACTGAGTTCTTTTTTTTTTTAATACATATTTCCTTTTCTTTTTACTTATTATTGTTTTTGTGATCACTGAGTCTTTTTGTTTCTCTATTTTGGTTAGTACTTTCATTGACTTTTTTTGTGGCTACCATGAAAATTTCGTTTAACATCTTACCTTTAAAACAAATTGTTATATCTTGAAACCACCAACTTGTCCTTAACATGTGAAAGTTCTATATCTACACCAATCATCTTCCCTTTCATTTTGATGTTGTCATTAATTATATCTTTGTATCTCAGTTTCCCTGTAATACAAAATTAAATTTATTTTAATATTATATGTATTTAGCTGCTATTTTCATTTTTTTATCCTATTTATATTTGTCACTGAAAATCATGAAGGACATACCTTTTAGGTTAATCTACCAAAAGTATCTTACGTCTGATCTTTATACTGTCAATAATTTCACTTTAATGGAGTATCCACTCCCTAGTCCCTATGTATATATCATTTCAGGTAGGTGATATGGATTGTTATTTTTCTTTCTAAGGGACTCTCTTCAACATTTCCTTCTTTCTTTTTTAGGTGTTTTGTGTGCATAAGCAGCCCCAACAGCTACTCTTTGTTTTTGTCATTGCTATAAATATATCTAGGGAGCTTTGGTAGTGTAGTGCCTAAGGCACTTGACTGCTAACCAGAAGGCTGGTAGTTCAAACCCACCAGCCACTCCTCGGAAGGAAGATGGGGCAATCTACTCCTGTAGTGATACTGCCTCGGAAACCCAAGGAGTGGTTGCAATGAGTCAGGTCTGACTTGATGGCACATAACAACAACAACAACATAAATATATCTAGCTATCTAACAAAACTTCTTCCAATTCAACTTTTACAGGTGTACAACTTATTGACAGAAATTATGATAACCAACTGAGCAACCCTACCCTTAATCAACATGGTATTTCATTAAAAAAGAATTATTGTGATTTGGGTGAAAGTTTACAGAGCAAATTCATTTTCCATACAGCAGTTCATACACATTTTGTTTCATGACATTGATTGCAATTCCTCACAGTGTAACAGCTCTCTTCTCACTTCCTCTCCACATTTACCTCTTTCCTGTGTCTTTCCCTCCCATGCACTCCCACTCCCTAAGCTGTCTCCCTGTGCAAACACTGCCCTTCTGCTCTCCCAGGATTGATCACTCCAAGGAGTATATCTACCTGCTGTGAATATTTACCCATATGCCTGTCTCTTGTTTGGCTGGAAGCCACTGAATTGAGTTTCATTCCAGACTTGAAGGGTAACCAGGGGCTATATAGTCTCAAGGGTCTCACCGGGCTCTCTATCAGACCAGCAAACCTGGTCTTTTTTCTTTATGATTTTGAATTTTGTTCCATTATTCTTCCACTCTATCCAGGATCTCTTACACTAATCCTCTGAGGGGTTGACACTGGTAGGTAGACACCATCTAGTTCTTCTGGTGTTATGGTCAAATAAGCTGAGGATCACATGGTCTCCCAATCCCTTGGACTAATTGTTTCCATGCATCTTTGGTTTTCTTCATTCTTCTTTGCTCTGGATGAGGAGAGAGCCATTGTTGCATCCAGGTAGGCACTTGTAAGATTTTAAGACCCTAGTTGCTACTCACCAAAGTAGGATGTCGAACAATAGTTTCGTGTAGTATGTTATGCCAATTGAGCTTGATGTCCCCTGCAACCATGGTCCCAAGCCTACAGGTCCAACTACTCATTCCCTCAGGGTAGGTGGATATGGCCCAGAAGTCACCACAACCTTGTCCCTTGTCAGCTCTACTATACACCTAGACATCCTTATAGCACATACAAATACACTTGTAGAACCATCATCTGCCAACCCTATACATGGTCATGGGCACACTTATTCCTGATTAGACAAACCTGGATCATTCAGTCTGTCTACCCATCTATCAACCCGTAGATTAAAGCCTGCCATCACTGACAACACAGTACTCTATGTGCAAAGAGTTCATCTTTGTTGTCTGTATCTCCTGTGTACCTCTCTATGTCTTTGTCTTCCTCAATACCACTGTGTTGGTCACTTGTGTTTGGTACATTGCCCTTCCATTCACCTAAATCAATACTTGTCACTACCTAACTAGCAGTGTTCCCTCCCATCCCTGGTAACCAACAAAGAAAACTTTCTTCTATATTGTGTGAAATGGGTATTGTCTAACTCATAGAGTTTACTGGTTTTGCTTCTAGAGAAACAAAACCAGTAAAGCTTATGTGTGTGTGTGTGTTTAGTAGGCCATTCCATCATTCTCTCAAGCCAGCTGCTTCAGGAAGATGAGAAACATGGTAAGACCAGTGAATTCCATGAGCATAGGCCCATTGCCACACTTCATTTGCTGTGAAGTGAGTCCCTTGATCTGAAGCAATGCTGTGTGGGATACCATGATGGTGAATAAGGCATTCTGTAAGTCCACAAATGGTAGTTTTGGCAGAAGCATTGTGTGCAGGGAAGGCAAATTCATATCCAGAATAAGTATCTATTCCAGTAAAAACAAAACGCTGTCCTTTCCATGATGGAAGTGGTCCAATGTAATCAACTTGCCACCAGGTTGCTGGCTGATCGCCCCGAGGACAGGTTCCATATTGTGGACTCAGTGTTGGTCCCTGCTGCTGCAGATTGGGCACTCAGTGGTGGTGCTACCCACATCAGCCTTGGTCAGTGGAAGTCCCTGTTACTGACCCCATGCATAACCTCCATGCCTGCCACCATGGCCACTTTGTTCATGAGCCCATTGGGCAATGACAGGAGTAAGTGGGGGAAAAGGATGACTGGTTTCCACAGAATGTGTCATACTATCCACTTGATTGTTAAAGTTCTCCTCTGTTGAGGTCACCTTTTGGTGAGCATTCACATGAAACACAAATGTCTTTACTCCTTTGGCCCATTCAAAGAGATCTATCCACATACCTCTTCCCCATACCTCCTTGTCACAAATTTTCCAAACCTGCTCCTTACAAGTCCCAGATCATCCAGCCAAGCCTTTGGTCACAGCCCATGAATCAGTATACAATCATAAATCTGGCCATTTCTTGTTCTATGTAAAATGAACAGTCAGATCCATGGCTTGAAGCTCTGCTCATTGGGAGGATTTCCCTTCTCCACTGTCCTTCAGGGAAGTCCCAGAAAGGGGCTGCAGTGCTGTGCTGTCCGCATACAAATGGTGCCTGCATATCGCACAGAACCATCTGTAAACTAGGCATGAGTTTTCTCTTCCTCAGTCAACTGATCGTAGGGAACTCCTCATGAGGCTATAGGTGCAGACTGGGAGAGGGAAGGTAATGTGACTGGAATGGAGACCATAGGCATTTGAGCCACTTCCTTATGCAAATTGCTTGTGCCTTCAGGTCCTGCTTAAGCCTGTTCTTATATACCACTTCCATTTAATGATGGAGTTCTGCTGTGCATGTGCAACTTTATGTCTCTGTGAGTTAGACAATACCCATTTCATGATACGCAGCTCAGGCTTCACAGTAACTTGGTGGCCCATGTTAGGTTTTCAGTCTTTACTAAAGCCCAGTAACAGGGAGAGTAGTTATCTGCTCCAAAATCCTAAGGGTCTGCACTGAAATTCACCAATAGGGGCCTGCCAAAGGCTCCAAACAGCATCTCTGTCTGTTACAGAGACTTTCAAGTACCACTGAATCAGCCAGATCATATGGCACAAGTGGCAGAGCAGCTTGCATGGCAGCCTAAACCTGTTGCAGAGCCTTCTGTTGTTCAGGGCCCCGCTCAATACTAGCAGCTTTTTGAGTCACTTGATAAACAGGCTAAAACAACACACCCACATGAGGGATATGTTGCCTCCAAAATCCAAAGAGGCCTACCAGACATTGTGCCTCCTTTTTAGTTGTGAGGGAAGCCAGATGCAATAACTTATCCTTCACTTTAGTAGGAATATCTCAACATGCCTCACACCACTGGGCCCCTAGACATTTCACTGAGATGGAAGATGCCTGATTTTTTTTCAGGTTAATTTCCCACTCTCTAGCATGTAGATGTCTCACCAATAAGTCTAGAGTCATTGATACTTCATCCTTAGTAGGCCCAATCAGCATAATGTCATCAATATAATGGACCAACATGATGTCTTGTGCATTCCATTGTGTGTGTGTACCATACCTTGGTTATCCTTTCTTCTATTGATGAGCAAGCAGGTTGTTTCCATCTCTTTGCTATTGTGAATAGTGCTGCAATTAACGTCTGTGTGCATGTATCTACTCTCATCTTGGCCTTCACTTCTTTATGATGTATACCTAGTAATGGGCTTACTGGCTCAAATGGTAAACTAATTCCAACATTTTAAGGAATTGCCATGCTGATTTCCACAGTGGTCATATCATTTTACAGTCCCTCTAGGGGTGTATGAGAGTACTAATTTGTCCACATCCTCACCAGCATTTGTTATTTTCTGTCTTGTTGAACTTTGCTATTAGTGCTTGGGTGAGATGATATCTCATTATTGTTTTGATTTGCATCTCTCTAACCCACCAGCCACTCCTCATAAGGAAGATTGGGCAATCTACTTCTGTAGAAATACTGCTTTGGAAACCCAAGGAGGAGTTGCTATGAGTCAGATTTGACTCAACAGCCGTGAGTTTGGTTTGGTTTGATTTATTGGCTAATGATCGTGAACATTTCTTCATGTGTTTGTTGGTCTCCTATCTTTTTTTGAAGAATTGTCTCTTCATGTCTTCTGCCCATTTTTCAATTGGATTGTTTGTCTTTTTGTTATTGAGGTGTTGGAATTTTCTATAAATTTTAGAGATAAGTCCCTTTTCAGGTATGTCATTGCTGAATATGTTTTATCATTCTGTAGGTTCTCTTTTTACTCTTTTGGAGAAGTCTTTTGAAACACATAAAAATTTGATTTTTAGAAGGTTCCAATCATCTAGTTTATCTTCTGTTGTTTGTGCATTTTAAGTTATGCTATATAGACTATTTATGCCATAAATCATGACCACTAAGCTTGCTCCTAATTTTTCCCTGAGGAAATTTACAGTTTTAGGTTTCACATTTGAATCTTTGATCCATCTGGAGTTAGTTTTTGTATGTGGTGTGAAGTATGGATCTTGTTTCATTTTTATGCAAATGGTAACCAGTTTTGCCAGCAACATCTTGCCAGCCAAGAGAGTATCTCTTCCCTATTTAATGGATTTAAACACTTTGTCAAAAATCAGCTGACCATAGGTCGATAGATGTATTTCTGAGTTCTCAATTCTATTCTACTTGTCTATGTGATTGTAGTCATATCAGT